TTATATTCATGGCTGTTAAACGAGCACGTTCCATCATTTCACCAATAGCCATTGAATGTGTTGGTTGACGTTGTTGTTGATCATATAATAAATTATTATTAAGAATTTGATTTGAATTTATTTCATTAGATTGATTATGACCATTGATATTCATATTTGTAACCTAATTAAAACAAAAACAATAATATTTATTTCTAATGAATAATTAATTCTATTACTTGTGTTGTTTGTTGTTGAGTAGTATTTATTGTATTACGTGGTATTTGTTGATTAATTAACATTTGTTCAAATTGTTTTAATAGTTGATAATTTATTTGTTGTTGTGATGATGATGGTAATATTATTGGTGATATACGTGATGTTTGTTGTTGAGAAAATATATTATTTGCTTGTGATATAGCTATATTAAATAATGGATTCATTGTTGATTGTCGAAGATTAATTGATGTTGATAAAGACATTGGATCTTCACCAAGTAAAGCATCAATTGATGGTTGTTGAGATTGATCATTATTATTATCAATAAGTAAAATTTCATCTTCTTTATCAGATATATTTGAATCGAAAAAATCTGGTAATGTTTCTGTTGTATAATCACCAAGAAATTCTCCATTTTCACCAAAATCTGATTTCATTTTAATTGTATCTAAATTACAATCACCAAATGTTTCATCATTTAATATATCTACTTCAGTATCATCTGTTGTTGATAATACAGATAACATTGTATTTAAATTATTATTTATATTTTTATTTGATATATTTAATATTGAAGCACCAATAAATAATGTTTGATTATTATCATCCATGATATTAGGATGAATAAAATAATTTAATAAACAAACATACGTATATACACACACACATATACTAGAAAAATAATAATAATAAAAACAAAAGGAAAGTCTTAAATAAGATATAATGATAGAAATAACAAATAACAAGTAGCCATGAATGAATGAATGAATAAATGGGAAAGATCTATTCTGTTGAGTATTTTTTTAATGATTGGTTGAAATAATCATAAGAGATAATATTGTTTTTTTTTGTTTTGATTGAAACAATAAATAAATATTATAAATTTAAGAAATATTTTATCATTTTAATAATAAACAACGACATTTTTATGTAATTTTATTAGAGACTAAGAAAAAAAGATATTGTCAGTGACATCTATAATACAATGTTATCGATATTCAGATTTCATAAAAGCATGTTGAAGAGTCAATTAAAGCTTTTTTTTTGTTATCTTCTAATAATTGCCAAATGAGCATAAAGTCATCTGACATCGTAGAGCTTTCTGAATTGAGTAGATCCATGTTCCAAATAATTTCAATAAAAATAATTGGAAATGCTTGCAGATTTTCATAATAATCTGCACCACCGAGAACTTTTGTTTTTTAAATAAAAATACTGATAGTTTGCCGAATGCTTCAGTCTGCAAGCCATCGGTTAAGCTTTATTAAAAAAAAAAGATTCTTTTCAAAAGCAAACTCAAAAATTTGGAGAAATCGGTTAGAGATTCGAATTCATCGCTCGCGACAACTTTTTAGCAAATTTTATAGAGAGAAGAAGCTGAAACGAGGCGAAGTTAATTAGTATGTCGCATATACTTAATATTAATGCAGTTTAGGTGCTGTCGAAAAACAAGTTTTCGGTAGCAGATCTAATTTACGTTCAAGAATTATTAATAATATTTTATTTCTTCGTCCGATAGAGAATAACAAAGTAAAAGATTGATTGATCTTGAGTTATATCGATTTTTGCACTCTTGTGTCTTGGAAAGATGCCATTTTTCTTAAAAAACACATTTCTTTTGAAATGTACAAAGCCTTCTGCTTCTCATTTCTTGTCAGGTTCTGAAAGTTTTTTTTCCAGATTCAACGTTAAAAATTGAGTATAAGCAAAATGTTTAGTCGATTTTTAACCCGAAAAGTGTTTTATGGTAACATCTCAAATTGTACCCATTGTGTTCTCTTACCGAGAAATCATATTTACTTGAGCACCGCAGCCTTTTTTTAGTTGGTATTCAGTGACTTTTGAATTCCAATTAGACTTAATAGGCAAACAACTACAAATTCGGAATCAGTACAAGCAAGTGAATCGAATGAACTATCCTTCGAGTCAATTTGACAACATTCATCTTTGATCTTGATATAGAAATGGCATTAGTATTCTGGTTGAAACCTGAATAAGGATTAAAAAATTGAAGTTTTCAAATTGACTCGAAAAATACTTTGTTTGACTCAGTTTTTTATGCTGAATTAGAATCTGTATTTGTTTTTCTTGGTAAAAGATCACGTTAAATTCGAAAATTGCTGAATATTGACTAAAAAGACTTGAGTCCTCAAGTAAATCCGATTTCTCAGCAAGAGACCAAAGAAAAACGATGTATACTTTTGTGACTAGTGTAATAATGAATCGAACGAGGTACAATGTTTGGCTTCCTCGATCAATCAAAAATATTAAATGGATTTATAAAAACGACTATATGCATTGTGATGGACACAATTCGAAGCGCTACCATCAAAAGACTTTTAGATTTAAAATCGATTTAACATTTTCTCTGCACTCAATTTTCTAGGGCTGAATCTGAAAAAAAAAACTACGCTTTCCAAGTTTTTTATTTTTTTTCTAACTTGAAAAAAGCATCCATTAAGGCTAAGAACTAGGTCTTTTGTAACCAGTAACTCACGCTCTATCAAATTGTGTGTAAAATAAGACGAAAAAGCATTTTATTTGTAGTTCGAATTGTCTGCATCTAACAAAAATATTATGCAGACATGTCAAGGTAATGAAGGAAAAAAGTAATGTTGCAGCGAGATGGAGAAGGCTTTTTTCGAAATGATATGTGGAACAAAATATTCTTCCCATTCCAGTCTCTGGTGAAGACCTACTGATGTAGATTTGATAGATATATACAACGGACTCAATTTGACATTTAATTTAATGCTTAGAATAATAATAATATATAGCAATAATGCAAACAAAAATTAAAGAAAAAAGAAACTCTGTTTCTATTGATCAGTTATTAGAACGATTTATTGTTCTCAAAAACTTTTCAATAACGTTGATAAAAGTTAGATTTTAGTGAGCAGTGTGCTCCTTTTTAAGTTCATTAAAATCAACTAAATATGAACAAGAAACAATGAAGGAAACATGTATGAGTCTCTTTTCTTTACATCACCCTCGTCGACGATTCTCTAATAAATTGATCGAATTTTTTTTAGAAATCAAATTCACAACTTTTTTCTTTGTTTCAAACTCGCTCAATATCATATCTAGTTGATTATATTTCGCTTATCGTTAACACACTAGTATGTTGAGCAAAACATGCGTACACAATTTTCGCTCAAAATGGCATAATTAACTGATTTGGTTTATAAAAATAAATAAATTTCTGTACATGTTCGATTAAATTCTTCTCCAATTTAATAGATATTATTAACAAAAAATGTTTAAAGCTCTTCGAATTAGTTAGATCATATTAGACTGAATGATGATTAATCACATATTATTAGGTCATGAATGTCTTAGCGGAAGAAAACCTCTTATACAAAAAAAAAGATTAACCACTATAAAACATAGAGAAACAAAAATAAACATGCCTGAATTAATGAAAAAAACAAAAATACTTTCGCCAATAAGATTTCATCGTTTGAAATATGACAACAAATTTCGATACAGAAAATTCATAGAAGCCATAGAACAATCCAACTGTTTTCGTATTTAACAATGAATGAATCTTCTTGACGTAAATGACTATGACTGATAAGCCATTGACGAAAATTTTTACTGACTTCATCTGTTAACGAACCATTAATATAAAGGCCACGAAGGTTTTTCTCTTTCCACAATGAAATCATTTGTAGAATCAGTGAATCGACGAAAATTTTTGGATTTTTCAAGAATAAACTAAAATCACGAAGATGATTAAACTTTTGTGCAACGACGCCTAATTGAATAGAATCAACTTCTTGAATATGAGTAATTTCAAGATCTACAATGCGTTTTTGCAATAATTCACATGTTGATACATCATTGAGTGCAATATTTAAACAATTCAAATTGATTCTTAAATACTCGAGATTAGGGGCAGCTTGAACTAGACGAAATATTTCACACACTCCTTTCACATTGAGATGCGTCAGATAAGGTAAATGCAAGATAATTGGCTGAGTTGATTGAAAAGTAACTATAAATGAAAAAAATTCATAATAATTATTCGAACCATTCGTATTTTACACAATATTGACGGAAAGTGTCTGTATTTTGAAAATTTCTGAAATATTCTATGCAATCCAGTCTAACTAAAATCTATGAACATCTCGATTAAAATTCAAGAAGGATACAGATGCTTTGAAAGTTATTATAATCCAATAATACTAGGACAAATAAGAGTTCAAAAGCTTTCAATTATCTGAACATTTTCCTTGAAAATTATTTTGTTCATACATGAAAAAAAATGAACATATCTTTGTTGAAGTCGACGCTGAGAGTTCAAAGTGGAATTTGATAATGGTTTTCTTTGGAGAGAATACTTTGAAAAGTATATAAGAGCTATTTCCCTTAAGCCATGCCACTTTGCCACCGAGGCTGCTCAATTGACCTTTTTAGAAATTTTGATTCCACTTACATATTTCAAAAGTGCACCAATTAGTGAGTTTTTTGCCAACAACTGCATCTCAATAGCTCAAATCATCACTAAGATTCTTTTCCTTCAACTGATGATATTGGTCTCACTTGTATCCACTGAGAAGCATGTCATTTTTGATTGACATGATATAGAATGATGAAAATTTCAGGATAGATACATACTGAGTTGCCCTACAAAACAAAACAACCTCACCTCTAGATGACACTCTATGGTCGGGTTACAGGTATTGCTAGTAGTGAAAGTTCATCAATCAATATCTTTTGCGTATCGGGCTTCTTAAGGTTGAAACTTTTCGAGTAGATACTAGGACTGTAGAGCTATATAATGATGAAAGAAAACTTTGGGAAGTTAAATATAACCCAAGATATCGAAGTTTTACGAAAATTTATTGCATTTTTAGCTGTTGTTTCACACATTTTGATCGTATTTTTTTTTACCTCAACAACTCAAAAAGAATGTCATATTCGGAATCATCATCAAAAGTTAAGTCAAATCACATATGATTTGTAAAAAACAAAATTTCCATCAAAAACTCACCTGAGGGAGACCACAGACAGCAATGTTTTTTAAAGCAATTGAGGACGAGTAGGGATAACTTTTTGATTAATTTTCTTTAACGAAACATATACGATTAGACTCAACTTTTGATGTTGAATCCGAATATGACATTCATTTTGAGTTTTGGGGTAAAAAAATACAACCAAAATGTGTAAAAAACATCTAAAAATGCAGTAAATTTTTGTAAAACTTCGATATCTCGGATTGTATTCAACTTCCCAAAGTTTTCTTTTCATCATTATATAGCTCTACAGTTCTAGTATCTACTCGAAAAGTTTCAATCTTAAGAAGCTCAATACGCAAAAGATATTAATTGATGAACTTTCACTACTAGCAACATCTATAACTCGACCATAGAGTGTCATCTAGAGCTGGGGTTGTTTTGTTTTGTAGGGCAACTCAGTATGTATCTATCCTGAAATTTTCATCATTCTATATCATCATGTCAATCAAAAATGATGTGCTTTTCAGTGGATACTAGTGAGATCAACATCATCATTTGAAGAAAAAGAATCTTAGTGATGATTTGAGCTATTGAGATGCAGTTGGTGGCAAAAAACTCACTAATTGGTGCACTTTTGAAATATGTAAGTGGAATCAAAATTTTAAAAAAAAATCAATTGAGCAGCCTCTGTAGTAAAATGGCATGGCTTATAAATGCGTGAAAAGTGTGCAACTTCCTTTCAAATAATATGTTCTGAAGATGTTCAATAGAGTCATTGCTTATGAGAAGTCAAATAACGGCTTAGTACTTGCAATAGTATACAAATTCTGAAAAAGTCTTTTATTTTTTTGTGAAACACGATCTGAAAGGAGTGTTGAAGTGTTTAGGGGTAGAAATTTGGACCCACCCCCTCCCTCTCCCCCACAGACCGTGACAGAGAAATTCCATACCTATCACAGACCGTGACAGGGAACCTCCGGACCCATCACAGACTGTGACAGAGAAACCCCAGTACCCATCACAGACCGTGACAGAGAACCTCTGGACCCATCACAGACCGTGACAGAGAAACCCCAATACCCATCACAGACCGTGACAGAGAACCTCTGGACCCATCACAGACCGTGACAGAGAAACCCCAATACCCATCACAAACCGTGACAGAGAAACCCTAAAACCCATCACAGACCGTGACAGAGAACGCCAGAGATCATCACAGACCGTAACAGAGAACCTTCGGACCCATCACAGACCGTAACAGAGAAACTGTAGATTTGAAGCATCAAATAAACGGTCAGCTACAAATCTATCGTAAAGAAAAGGAAGAAAACGTTGTCCGTTTAATTCGTAACAATAGGTCCATCGTGTTTCACACTTTTAATCCCGCAAGGGATTGCGCTAACAGCTTTTCCATATATATGCTACAACTAAAAGATCTCTCACAATTCTTCACAGCAATTTAACTTCGAGAGCTAATTTTATGGTTAATAAGTCTGTATTGTTTGGAAGAAAAGAATTCTCGTTTTGACAAAGTTAAAGTTGATCACTAGATTCTATTTGTCAAAATTCTCAACTGAAACATTTATTCATATTAATATAATCAATTTATGATTTATGCCATGTTTGTTTTCATTCATTTCAACCAGGTATTAGCTAAAGTTTGGCCTTTCTACATAATTTAATTATTTCAAACCATTCAATTTTGCATACATTCTTCCGATGAAACACTCGATTTCTCCGGCAATTTTGTAAATGAAGTAGCAATTAATCTGTTGCATGTACGTTATGAAAAGAGACAAAAGTAGGGTCCGAAAATTAGTGAGATAGCTGAAAAACTTTTTCTAATAGATATTTTTTTTTTGACGTCAACGAGCAAAAGAATCAGTCAGGGAATTCATTCTACTTTATCTATGTATAGAATTTTTTATAGTGAAAATGATTTTCAAGATCTAAGTTTTCACTAGAAAAATTTCTTGTGAAGAATAACATACGTATTTCTAAATTATTTTTTGAGCCGATAGTGAGCGTTCGAAGTCGATGGAAGTGTTGCACTATCTGATGTATATCAGTTGAACATTGCTCATCAAAAATAGTTAAATCTTTAACCTTTCGTGTATATTCAGAACCAGCCAACATGCACTTTGATATTTTTGCTGGAATAATAATTGAAGGTAAGTCACAGGGAATTGTATGAATTACTGTATATGCATTTGATTCATCTAGTAAACATGTTATTCGGATATGAGTTGGCCATGTAGACATCAAAGTAATTACTTCACTATGTAATCTAGAGAAATAATATATAATGAAAAAATGGATTTCGACAAGTGATGAAGGTAGAATTGAACTGAAATTCTGTCCATTAACAAGATCTTCATCTTCTGTACATAGATCCAATGCTAATCGCTGCAAAGATGGCATCTTATTCAGAATATAAGTAATTTCGTCTAATGACCAGTTTATATTTATCGAACGTAACTGAAAATCTTTTAGATGAACAAGAGATGATATATTTGCTAATGTCGACTTTGAAGTAGATGATAATTGATCAAAGTCAATATGTAAACGATTAATATGTGGTGCAAGTATGAATAGATATTCTAACATTTTATCTGTCTCTAAGTTCACTATCAATTCTTCGATATTTGGATAAGAAACAGCTTCGTCATGTTTTGTTCCATTTAGAATAAAACCAATTGAATCATAATCAAATAATACAGATTTCAATCGATTATTATTGGCAGCTAGAACTTTCTTCAGTAATTCTTCTGTACGTTCACCTCGAAAGTTTCTAATATCAAGTTTGACAAGTTGCATAAGATCTGTGATTTTATCAAGAAAAAAATTTAGTTGTCGATCAATGAAATTTACAAGTGATAATGTATGTAATTGTGGAAACATTAAAGATAATTTCCAATGAAAGAATATCGAATTTAATTCGTTGTACATGATATTTTCCCATAGTCCATTGAATACAAATGATCGTATTGAAAGGCTAATTTGAGGAATAATCTGCGTCACAACAAAATCAAACTGTTTATGTGTAACATTCATAAGATTCACATAATGACAGTAGTCAGTTATTGTCGCATTAAGACGAGAATTTAAATTGAAAAATGAATAAAGAATTTCGGCATCACGAAAATATTGACATATGAGTAATATCATTTCATCTGGTAACATTTCAAGGGTTGAAATTTGTTCCATTTGAAATAACCAATTTCGTAGTTAATAAAAAGTACGCACAATTTATTTGATTCAAAAGAAAATACACACTCAAAACATTGAATACGATCTGACTCAGACGTAAAAGACAAAGTTGCGAAGCATGCGTGTCGAAAGAAAAAAAAAAGAGTCATGTATTTCTTTATATTTATGTGTCGTAGGTGTAAGAAAGAGAAACGATTATATTTGCGTAGTCAGTATGACAGTTATGTGGGTGTAGAAGTATGAGTGTTGATAGATGAAGAAATAACCTTATATCTACATCCAATTATAATGTGAAATTGCGTCGAATGATGATTTGAACAATATATTTTCTGAAAAATAATTTTTTGTTTTCAAAGAATAATTTATTTTCCTACGGATAATTTTTATTAAGTGATATATAATCACTTTTGAGCAACAGAAATTCGTTTCCGAGTATAAAAGTTATATACTCGCTTTCGATGCGAAAGTAGTTCACTGTGTGCAGTGTTGCTATAATGTGCTAAAAATCCTCCGATTATCACCATATAGCATTTTCAGATTTTATTTTATTTTAAATGAACAAATTGTTCATCGGGATTAAAACATTCTATCTCTCAGAGACATAAAGAATATATGCATACGAAAAATAAAACTATTTCTGCTTGATTACATAATCTATTGCCAAACTACAAAATTAATAAGGTATTGTCTGTTCTACTGCCAGTACCGTATGTTCAATGTACACATTGTGGAAACCTAAATTGAGAACGATAGCATTTTAAAGTAATGATTCAATGCCGAAAAAAAGATGCAACAAAACCATCTGTACGTTATTCATTCTATTTCTAATAACACCAACAATTACTATCAGTTATACTTAACTCTCTTTATGAGTACAAACGATTCTAATATTGTATTAGACATGATCGCTATTGATCATAGAAAAAGTGCTGGCTGTTACCGTTTATGTCTTTCAAAAATACTTTTTGTTTAACAATTTCTTCCACAGCAGCTCAAATAGTACGTTTTCCTGAACAACACAGACTACTGTTTTACATTTTGCTGCAACTAAGAGTAATGACATACCCTGCTTTTACTTAATGAGTGAAAGAAATAATATAGTATATGTCATTTCATCTCATACACATTAATTGGAAGAATATATGTGGAAAAACAAGGGAAAGTATATACGAAGGTGAGTTTTGAGCAACTTCATTTTCATGTTACAAGCACTGCAAATAATTTCATAGTTGTCTCGAGAAACAAATCTGCAAAAGATTGTATATAACAGTAGTTTCAGGAAGAAAATATTATAAAACTGTATGATTTTAGAACATCAATAACGATATTGTTTTATGATCATATACGAATTAAATAGTCCAAACACTAAAAGATTAGTTTATTCTATTCCAAAATTTAAGGTTCATTATTCTTTACTATGTTCATACGGTATTTGTCAACTTTTTTGGTCGTGTTATTCTAGTAAATGTGTCAATATTTTCATTATTGTGAAATGTTTTTATCACATGAAACTGAAACACTATTGCATTTTTATAACCGCAATGATTTTCAGTCATGGTTAGCTATAGAAAATTTGTTTGTTAAATATACAATTTGTGTCTTAAATAAGCTTTTGAGAACGTAGACAATAGACTATGTTTTATATATACGCGATGACAACTACAAAGAATTGTGTTAGACTAATTCTTTTTCGAGATAATATCTTTAGCAGAGAACAACAGACAAACACGAGTTCGCAAATGAGGCGTTCATTGACTGTAACCTGAAGTGCAATATATATAATTTATTACTCGAGGATTTATTGTGCATCCATTGTCAGCATATATATTGTCGGGAATGCCGGACGGTGTGCGTAGGTGAAGAAAAGACATACATCTACACGCTCAGGTCAGTTGGCTAAAACGCGTTGTAGCTATTCGAATTTACTATAGGATGATAATTTATAGAGCATTGTGTAGCACAACTGCATTTTTTTGAAAATTGAGTCAATGTTTTTGTACCTATGCCTTCACATTAAGTGTAAGTGTACGTAACTAAATAGATCTTGTAATTTCGATGTTCAAATTACCATTCTGATTTAGTTTAATATTTGTAAGTTGACAATTAATCGAACATTAAAATCTGTTGTCAATTGAGTTCTTTGATGAAGGGGCTTTATAAGAAAGATCATCTATATTATGATTTGACGAAATTGATCGAATAATTTGAAAATATACGAAATGATATCCTTGTCAAATTAAATATGTGACAATAAGGAAGCATGATCATTTCTTGAACGACTGATAGTTTTCCAGAAAAAAAAACATTTTTTTTTAAATAACGTCTAAAAACATCAATAGAATTTCATCTTCTAATAGATGCACACAGGATAATTCTACTCTAAAGAGAAACTACAATAGTTGAGATATATAGAGTTATATACACTTTTCCATCAATATTGGAACGTTTTCGTAATAATTATTATTAATTCCTTTCGATAACTTTGAACTCTCGCATGGACTTAGACAGTACTCTAATGTATTGTTAAATTGATTTTTGTAGTTACAGTTGAAGTGCATTATCATGTAGCTAAAAGACATAAAAGAAAAGTGGTTATTAAACGAAGGACATATGTGACGAGAGAAAGATATGCGCTTTTTCATTCAAGCGTATCTTCAGTTGCCTTTCATTGTGCAAAGACTTACACGTGCATTCAAACGACAGCGAATTTGATAATTTACCTGCGCAATCAAATATGTGCCTCCCAGTTAGTTTGTCATGAACATTTTCTGTTTTTATTTTTAAAAGAATGTCTTGTTTTTTGAATAGATATGTTGTGGTGCAGGTCCTGATGGTTGTTGTTTCTGTGGCATTCCATGCGATTGTTGTAGAGGAAGTGGTGCTTTAGATAGAGGGTTAATAATCGACTTCATAATTTCTCTAAAATAGGTTTTGTTTTGTTTGCATTTTAGACCTATTCAAAGTCAACCATCAGCACACTACTGATCGTAACAATTCGAACTGATTGTTTCTGTTTTTTTTTTCTTCATTTACATTGTATCGAATCATGTAATGCACGTGATTTCGTTGTCTATGAAACAATCGACATAGACAAAGAAAACATATTCAAAAGTGCGTTATAACATATTTTACAATAAAAACCATCTGTTTTCAACTAATTTCAATGATTCGATCAATTCAAATCAACAATGAGGTTAACTGAAAAGATCCATTTTGAAAGACATGTAATATAGTGCATTGAACATTATAAAAATATATTGTTTTTCAAACAGTTTCAAGCGTTATAAACAATCGAGTATTATTATTTTCGTCGTGTTGATTGGAAACAGTTGAATATTGTCGTGCTGAAAGGATTGAATTTAATGATTAAATTTTGTTATCAGATAAAAATGTGCTCAATATTAAATGAGCTTGCCAAACATATTGACTATATTGTCGAATGACCATGTCTTGGACAATCAAGTGAGAAAAGAATTCCAAAAGTTCTGTTACATTCACTATTAAAAATAGTAGAGACATCCTTTGTTCTATGCAAAACACAAAAAAAATAAGTGTATTAGTCAACTTTTTTTGCCTTTTAGATGCTCCAACATCCTTCGACAGATGTCACTGATAGATCAGATCTTTGGTCTCGATTAAACTTCGAAAACGTGGCAAGTCGACTAATGATACGCTTTAACATGTATGTCAAAATCATATTGAAATAGAAACAAAATTTGGTTCCGTTTACTGCAGATCATGTTTTCATTCAAATATATTAAACTCAAATCATCAACATCTAACAAAATACGAACCATTTAGAATGATCTAGAAAGAATATTCATATGTTGGTCAGTAATTGATAGACTTGATATTTTCTAAGTTCGCTAAATATTATTCTCGAAGAGATAGCAGATCACATCGAACACATATTTCAGTCCAACATAAATGATCTATAAATCAGAAATGATTCTATAATACAGAGTTGTTTTTTAGTAAAATGACTACATCTATACAGATTATCTATACTAGTATCTTATTAAGAGAGATCATAGTATTTAAATTTCAATAGTATCTGAGACACTCTAATCTAATGAGTTATTATTACCGTAAGTGAACAAAGATTTTCTTCAGATAAAAACAACTTCAGAGATGCATTCAAAAGTTCAAACAACATGAATACGACACAGTTTTTTATTCATAAGCAACAAAATATTCGAGTAAAATTGATTTGTTCAAATAAACCATATCGAGATTTGAATCATCTGTTGTCAAATAGTAATCTTTCGAATATTTGTGTATGTCTAACTTGCCAATATAACTTTTACCAACGACCACACAACATATGAATATCATTCATTCATACTTCAGTTGATTGTGCATTGTATACTATTGACTGATGGATGAGCTCGATGAAAAATAAAATCCTTGACCATACTCTGTTTCTAATAATAGAGATTTAATGGATGGAACGTATACCGAATCATAGATAAGCTCACCGTGTGTACCAATAAGTTGATGATCGAATCTATGTTGAATTAAATTTTCAGCTGTTGTACGAAAACAATCATCAAAAAGGCACAAACTCTGTTTGATTATGTCTGATTCGAATGTCAATAATTGCTTTCTGATCGAAATAGTCTAAACGCCAGTTGGAATTTTTAATTTGATAACTATAAATGATTATAAGAATTGGAAAGGCTAGATCATTTACTATTTTATGATATTCGATTGAATACACTGATACATTCTTCAACAGTTCATTGGATAATAAGCAAACATTGTTTGAAATAACTGTCAATTCCATATGACGATCAAATTTATCACGAGCTTCTACAAATTTATGATGTGCGACCTGAGATGACGTCGTACCACCAACTTTATTAATAATTTCTATACGTCCATCATGAAATGTAAGACACAGGAGCAATGGATATATATCAATTGATGTTGACATGATGGTAGTTGCAAGAGAATAGTTGATAATCACACAATCAACGGCATTATTTATATGATAC